TTTCTGCCTTTATTAGTTTTTTACGAGGTAGAGCTTTTGGACATGGTCTTAAAGATTCAGGTGTTATTGTGTTCTGTGATTGTAAGGCATTACTTATACTTGTTTGCTCATAATTCTTATAATCCACTTTAAAATCTTCTTTTTGCATAACTATGCCTTCAGGCTTATTTAGAATTAGATGTGAATTATCAGAAGTAGCTTTACTGAATGTTTCTGTCAAAGGACGATTAGTCACTTCAGCACTTTAAAAGTTGTCATTGCAGAAAGCAAGGCGTGAAAAAGGATATATTCCAGGTGTAGAAAAACCTGCAACAATATTCCAACAATATACTACACATAGTAATTAGTTGTCCACGTTCAGCAGATACACACTGTCCAACTTGTTTTATTCTACGCGATTCTATAACATGGGGTGCTTGTACTACTGTCATTATGTTGGTTTCATCAATATTATAAATTCTATCAGGAGTGAAATAGTGTTTTTTTAATACTTTTTCATAGTTATCAAAAAACTGATTTACATTGTGCTCATTAAAACTTGTTTAGCGAGTCAAACTCGTATTTTCAGGTTTTCGAAGTGAAAGTTCTTGGTGGCGTTTCATGAAGCTTTTCAACCACTCTATACCAGCTTGTTTATTTTCCATCCATTTACTTGAACATTTGCAAAGTTTCATTGCATAATGAAATCCTAATTCCTGTGCTTGTTTATATGTCAACCCATAGTTCATTTTAGAGCTTTTTATTAGATAGTCTTTCAACATTATTTTCTCATCTTAATTAAATACTTGTGCGACAGTATATTTACTTGTCAAACCTAACTTGGTAATGAATTTTTATACTTCTTTATTCTGTATTACGTTTAAAATTATAGTATTACGTTTTAAATTATAGTTTTTAGCTGCTTCGTTTGGCTTCATTAATCCATTTGCAATTTGGAGAACAGCATTATTGACATCTTCCTCTATGACTTAAGTCACTCTCTTTTTTTTATAATTTCGAACCATTTTTATCATTAAATAAACTAAACTCAGTCCGTAAATAATGAAGCGATAAAGTACGGGAAGTTGAAAGAATGAATTATAATGATTCAAATGTGCCACGTTCATTTTTTTTTAAAACTGCCCCAATGGCGTCTTAGAGAGTAAATGCCTATTTTTGGAAACAAAATATTTCTTTTTAATAAAATTTTTTGCATCATTATAAAGAGAATAAAATAATCTATATTATAGATAACATAAAGTTCAACATTTGTTAAAAATGTGGTCAGAAAACTCTTACAACTTTTTATCAAAATGTTTCAAATTTGTACTAAATAAAAAAAATATCGTCTAGTTTGTCCACTTTTAATCAAATGGCAACATATTCAAGTGACAGATGTGAGGATAAGTATTGTCATGTTAAAATAATTCTATATATCAAATTTAAATACACGCGCTCTTCACAAATGCATTAATTCAAAGCCGCTATATATAAAAATATATATACCCATGCAACATCTTGTACATATCTATTAAATCCGATCTGTTCCTTCATTCCTCAAGTGTCCATAGACCTAGTTTAAGTATTCTGTCTGCATAGGATAGATGTTCCATTTTTTATTATTATTTTATTGAAACAATGTTGTATTTTTTTAATTATTTCTTTATCTTTGACATAAAAAGGTGACCAAACAGATGTACAATATTCTATATGTGGACAAACTAATGATTTAAATAGTTTCATTATAATATCTGATTGTTTATAAGCAATTTCGCAAATTATCATTCCTAGAATCTTGTTTACAATGACATAAGCCCTCATACACTGGTTAAATGCTTTCAAATCATTTGGTATTACAACCCCAAGTCTCAATTTCTTCTAAAATAACCCCGGTTATAGTGTATTCATAACTAATGTTTTTTTTCCAAAGTGCATTACTTGCATAAATTGCATTTCATAACATTAAATTGCATTTGCCATTCAATGGACCACTTAACAAGCTTTAGCCGATTTTCTTAGAGATGCAAACCATCACTTCTAGTATTAACTTTAGAGAATATTTTAATATTGTCAGCAAATTTTAATATATGGTTTGTCACATATCCAGATCATTAATATATATCAAAAATAGAATTGGACCTAATGCTGATCCTTGTGGTATGCCACAAATTACTTTCCCAAAAGAAGAATTTTTTCTATTTAAAACTACTCGTTGAACCCTTTTAATCAACCAAGAATATATCCATTAAAAAAGTTTGCTTTCAATTCCATGACTTTACAACTTTTTTAGCTGACTTTGATGAGGAACCTTATCAAAGGCTTTTGCAAAATCTAAATATATCACACAATCTCCATTGTCAACAAATCCTGTTACTTGCTCCAAAAACAATATTAAATTGGTCACACAAGATTTTCCTTTCCTAAATTCGTTTCGCGAGTCTACTATTGCTTGATTCATTT